AAACGCTCTTGACGGGCCAAAGTTAGCGAGAACGGGCATACCAAGACGATCAAAAACAATCACGCTACACTTAACTTTAAAAATACTGCGATTCTTTTGAATTTTCTTACCATATTCAATTCGTGAAAGAATAAAAACATTGTACAAAATGCATAGATTGGGTTTTTTCTACTGTTCCGTTTCAGCTTTACGCCATCTTCAGTGGTAGGTTAGCAGACACAAAAACGTATAAAAAAATCACGGCTGATAAAATAACAACTCTGATGATGAGGAATGGTACAACTTGAGAACTGATGTTGAGGACATACCCCTTAAACCAGGGTACTAACTACTGGTTCAATCCTCAACAAGAAATCTTAGAAATTATATTATTATTATTACTATTTTCTATTTGTTTCAGGTGTAAAGTTCAGTTAGTTAATAAGAAAATTATGATTAAGTACAGTGTTGTTAATCACCTCTGTTTGAATTTAATGATGGGTGTCGAGTTGCGGATATTTATTATGTTATTGGACCATGAACAAATCGAAACCGGTGTAACGGTTTAAGTCTTAGCGTAATACATTTTTGTACTTAATCTTATAAAACGATGCCATCATAAAAAAGGATCTTCCAATGAATTTATTTAAGATTTTATTACGTGATGGCTACTTCTGAAAATAAAAACGATCGATTTATCTCTTTTGGATAATCCTAGAAAGAAAATTCTTTTGAAACAAGGCCGCCACCGAGGAATGGACCAGTTTATCTCGGATTGGTGATACTCCAACATATTATTACGGTTTGCACAACCAGGACTAAAATTCACAGCTGTCACACTCGGCCCTTGACCCACTACATCACACTGACGCCGCGTATTTTCGCTTTTTTATCTAATCGTGGGGGGAGGTCCGCCTGTCGAGAACGCAACCCTGCCGGAAATTGCATTTGGGTGAAAATCATCTCGGAGAAATTCTTCTCAAGGATATAAACTTTGAATGGATTTCGTAAGGTTCATCGTCGGAACATTTTTTAAAAACTTAAAGATATACAACCCCTTTAACAAAACACAGTAAGGAAAAGTTTTAAAGTTATCTTAAATGGCTTTTTTATTCAAAACAAGCAGCTAACTTTTATTTAATTAAAACGTGAACTCGTCGTTGTACTATGTAAAATTGGAATGGATATGCATGGTTAAAACTGGTTTAGTTGTTTCCAGTCATTTTGACCAGCTCGTACTTTCCATTTTGGTCTGTTAGACGCATTTCGACTTTTCCCCATCTTTAGTTTTGAGTTTGTGGGTTATTTTGTCGCAATAATTATCTGATAATCGTAAGTGCTTCTCTAAGAAGTCACTGTTACTTACAAAACGAATATAGACAAGGGTAAACGCAAAAATACAGAAGAGGCAGTATGACAAGCTGAAAAACCAGTGTTTAATAATTTTATTTTTTCAATCATTGTTGTGAATCCACAATGTTTTTATGTAATAATATAAAAAGTCTGTGTCACGAGCGGGATTCGAACCCACGACCTTCGGCCCACGCCGTTACTCTTCCACTTGAGCTATCGTGACTTCGATTCACTCGGGCACTAACTTCCCATCTCCACCCCACCTTTTGAATTTTCCCTCCTTTTTGCCATTTTTCAACTGTCGTATAATCTATTTGATTTTCGGCGACAAATGAAATGGCCACGGAGAACTTTTAGTGAAGTATACTTCATTTTAACTTATTAAATTCACTAGTTTTCGTGGTCCGCTTGACCAATTAATATCTTTCAATTAATTAAGGTTTTTAGTTGAGATAAAAAAATCAGTGTCACGAGCGGGATTCGAACCCACGATCATCGGCTAGATTCGCCGCTACTCTACCACTTGAGCTGTCGCGACTTCGATTCACTCGGGCACTAAATTTTTTATCTCAACTAAAAACCTTAATTAATTGAAAGATATCAATTGGTCAAGTGGACCACGAAAACTAGTGAATTTTCCTCAAATTTCAACCCACGTTAATGGTAATATAATTCTTATATAAGGTCAGCAGATGTGAAATTTACTGTGGAGGTCGGCGAGTTATTGAATCTGTTGTCTGAAAGCTTTGTAAAAAAAAGACTGAAACACGGGAACAGCGCACAGGCCAACCAAAGGTGATCGTTAAAAGTAGAAACGCGCCTGACAGAACAAAACGGTAAGCATGGGTAGACCAGAATGATCGAAAACGACCAATCTTCACGTTCTTCACTATGCAGACCTCAACAAGATATGCCAAATGTTCGATTTCCCAGATTTCATGTCGAGTTCTTAAACTTTGCTTATCGATTCAGCAAGATATAAAAACAAGAAAAGAAAAAAAAACATTTAAGAAATGGATAAATTTCATACAGTACCAGTGAATGTAGTACTCGATGGTCAGTAGGAGGCTGTTTTATTGCCAAATTAACAAATAAATTAGCGAATCCATTGGATAATAGCTCTATAGTTTATATTATGAAATAATACGTTTGAATTTTCAAAAGTTTATTGTAATTTGGTCCTTTCCGAACCGTGGTCTGCCTATACACGCTCTTCCTCTGTAAAGTGCGTTTCGGCTTTTAGCCATCTACAATGATGTTAAGCGTTTTGAGACTTTGTTGTGAAAGAAATTGCAGTTTTAACGAGTGGTTTCGTCTTGCAGACTGTACAGATCAACCACTGAAGACGGTAAAATGTCTAAACTCGTCTGACAGACCAAAACAACGAGGATTGGCGGTGGGCCAGATTGATCGAAAGCGACCAATCTACATGTTCTTCACCACACAAAAATCAACATCAACAATCAACAACATATGTCACAATGTAAAATTTCTCTGATTTCATATCGAGTTCTTCTTATTCTACGTTACAACTTTGCTTATAGACACAGGGGGATAAAAGAAAAGAAAATAGCGTTAAAAATATTCCAGAAATGGATAAAATTCAAAAGAATGAGTACGGGAGCCGTTTTATATACAAATTAACAATAAATATACAAATAAATGTTTGACTGTTATCTTAGTTTGACCCTTTCTCATCCTTATCCTTGCTGTTATCCGCTGCTAGATCCGTTGACGCTCTGCAGTGGTTGAAATATATGAGGGACAATTAGATACTTAATAGTTTTAAGCGGTTTTCATTTATTTAGTTGAAAAACAAATGTTGTTTGTAAGTTATAAAATTTGGTATGCAAAATCGTTTGCCAAATTCTTTCAACATGTGCCGGATAAACCTTACGTTTAAATTAGGTTCGAAATGCTTTACGAACTCTTTCTTGACTGTATGTACTCAATTATATATATAGTAATAGGTATATTAACAGATCATCCAAGCCCGCCTAACCTCGGGACGTACAAAATCAGCGAGATTAGGCGGACCGGACGGCGGTTTTGTTTAACTTGTTGGGAGGGCTGGATTGTCCAAATTTGATCGGTTATGCAATGTTGTTGTATTAGCTAAATAACCAACCACGTGTTTGTTAAAGATAGATAGATCCAATTGACGTGTGGCAACAAATAGCTTTCTCAATCATTACAAAAAAATCAGATGTATAGATTTATATTGCTAATAATAACAGATAAAATGTCTATACTTAATTGATTGAAGTGACAATAAACAAGCTAACTGAAAAAATATCGCTACTATTAATAAATTTAACTTGTCAGATAGTGTGGTTGGGTTTTATCGAGTCCGAATCACAGATCAGTGAGATCTTTGCGATGATAAAGCGAAAAGGCACCCTTTATTATGACTGGAGATGAATTATCCACGTTCATCGACTCTTCTTGTTTTTAAAAGAAAATTGTCCAGACTTGGACACCCCCTTGGATCAATATGATCAATCGTAGGTGTAGGTTTTTTTGTTTGTTTTTTAATCTTGCGTTAACTCAAAGAGACATTATGCGGTCGCCTCTCAGACACATCGCAACCAGATATAGTTAAAATTAGTTCCAAATTTGTAATGGTGGCTGGGTGGATCCTGGCCCTACTTCTATTTTTAATCACTCAGACCTCTACGTCTCTCTCATTCTCTCTCTCTCTCTCTCTCTCTCTCTCTCTCTCTCTCTCTCTCTCTCTCTCTTTTTTATATTTAAAATACACGATGTGCCAAATCAAAAGAGAGAGTTTTTATCAAAACAGTTTAAAAGTTGCCCAAATATAGTTGTAATAGTAAAAGAGGAATAATTAAAAGTAAAAAGGCGTTCTGCAAAAGGCTCTTTAAAATTCAAATTATGATCCATTTTACAAACAGAAATTAAAATATTAAACTTTCTCAATTAATGACGCCATAAAAGTTATAATTTTAATGTAATATCATTTACAATGTCAACCGTTATAAATACTGATACTTCAACTTGTATAATGACACGTTGCAGGAATAATTAATGGAATGTTGGTTTACATTTGCATATAAAGGCACGTTATATGCAAGATTAACTGTCTTGAACAGTGACTGGTTTTTAATAGGCTCTTACGATGGTTTCCCCCGTTTTACATTTCTGTTAAAGCATTCATCGGCAAACACTTCCATGAAAGATTAGATTATCTCGCTACATTTTTCCGTTCGATATTACGGCCGGGAAAGTGGAAAATGTTTTCAATTGAAAAATCGAACTGGCAAAACCTGTGGTCTTTCTTAAAAAGAACGTTTGGAAAAAGAAGTTCTTTGGGCAATGTTCCTTGGAGATGTTAAAGCCCCGAATATTATTTATTAAAATTAGTTTATTGTAACAACTTCAAACCTCTACATACTCCTAACCGTATTCTTTGCTTGATCTGAAGGAAGTTGAGATCACATAACAAAACTGTAGATATGCGCCTTATGAACCTTATATCCTACACTCGTTATATTATTTTTTACACATTTGTTTATTGTGTTGTGTATGTTCCTCTGGCTTAAAGTTGTGTAAAAAGATTGTTCATTTAAATAAATCATGTCAAGGTGTGTGAAGACATATGTGAATTTGTAAGGTAATGATTGATATTTATTGTTAATAAATGGGCTTACCTTCCAATATGATGGGCTGTTGGTCAGCTGATGTAGAGGATTCGAGTCGATTAGACTTCGTTCGGAGCTTCCCTTGAGTAGTTGGGCCAGGAGCTGATGAGACGGCTGAGGTCCTTTGTCTTTAGAACATCCTTCGAGCTGGGAAGGGCTGGACGTCGTCCTTTGATGGTGCACTTCCGGTTTATTTCCCCCGAACGGCACATTTTCGTTGACTTTCCTTTTCGAACCGGATTTAACGGAATCAGACGGCTCTGGGGACGTGTAACTCCTTTTCAAGTGGCTGTCGTCCATGGTCCTCTGCCTGACTGGCTTGCTGGGCTGGCCGAACTCTTCCAAAAACTTCAGGTCGTCGTGATGTATCGTGAATTTTCGCGTTTCCGGCTTTTTCATCTCCGCCTCGAGCATCTGTCCGTATGGCCCTCGTATCGGCTTCTTCGAATATCTCCTGGGTGGTTGAGGACTCCTGGTCTGGTTCGTCAATTTGTTTTCGCCGTCCGAGAGGTCTGAAGGAGCAAATAGGGAGGGCGAATTCCTGTTCGGGGTCGTCCTGCACCCGTTGTCACTTTCCCCTTCAGAGAGGGAATCGTTCCTGTTCAGTATCGGAAAACGTCTCGGGGACCCTCTTTCTTCTTCTTTCTCTTCTGAACTCTGGCAGATTAATTTCGGTCTATCCGCCCATTTGCGTTCCCCGGGCTTCGGCCACATAAGTCGTATACTGGTCTCTTCCGGGCTCTGAGGCTCTTCTTGCGCGCTAGAAGCCCATTCTCCCAAACGTCTCACGCACTCGCCTACGGTCCAACTCCTCTCACTCCGCACTCCTTTCTCGTTTTTGTTGTCCGCTTCGGAAAACGTCGAGTTGAGCGAACATGTCCGGTTCAGAGAAGTGTTGTTCTTTTTCGACGCACTCTCGACCAGAACGCCTTCCGAATTCGTTTCTTCTTCGATGATGTCCTTCAAAAATTCCTCGCCCGTTTCCTCCGGTTCCGCAAGAATGTCGGTCGGCGTCAAGTGATAGACTGTAGGCTCTGAGCTAGGGTTTTGTGTACTTGGCGTGATGCTGGTTATATTGGGCACGGGATCAAACCAATGATCCGGCGGTGGCGAGACGGGCTGGGAGAGCGTTTCGCTCGTGGCGGCAGCGCTGTCGGTGTCGCTTTCTTCTTTCACCCCTCGCAGGGTCCGATCTCCGCAGCCTAGCCCTTTCAACCCGTTCCCGTCGACGGAGCCGTAAGAGAGGGCGTCAGCAGGAGCTGAGTCCTTCCAGCTCAGGGGGTGAGTCAAAGATCGGTTTTGTTTACATTCGGGTGGTTTTTCCGATTTTGGAAGGGACCACTCTTGAGATCCGACTGCAGAATCGATCGACGCGCCAGAACCCAACGGCAACGAAGTGCTGGGACTGACTGGAGATTTCTCGGATGAGGTTTTCTTCCTAGGGAGGCTGAGCGAGGCACCGGCTTTGTTCGCTAGCGCGATGTTCCTCGCGTTTCTGATGTTGTATTTACCGTCGGTCGGTGAGAAATCGACTTGAGAGAACGACGCGCTTCGGAACGGTATCGTCCTCTGGATGTAGGAGCCGACGATAGTCCGTTCTTCCGGCTTTTGCAAGGTGAGCTTCAGGTCGAAGTCCTCGACGGGTACTTTCTGCTCGCCGGGTCCCTTGAGCCTCTCGGTCAGTTCCCTGAGGCGGTCCGATTTGTCCGAGCTTCTCGTTTTCTTTTTGTTTGGGGCAGGGCCCAAGTGGAAATTCGGGAGCCTGTCCAGGGCTGCTGGTATGAAAGATGCGGGTCCGCGTCGGCTTGGCACTCCGAGACTACTGCCCGAGTTATTCTTGGCGGCCGGTAGACGAGAACTCCACGGCCCTCCGCAGCAACATTCGCCCTCTCCCACTCGGCCATCCTCTTGCCGTACACGCACGCGTACCGAACCAATACGTACGTATCCCTCCCGCCAGCTGTTATCACTGCTCATCATAGTGCACTCATCCTATCTCCCCGGAGCCCGGACCATTCCCTCGTATCAACAACAATTCCTCCTTTCCTGACGGTGCTCACTACCTGAAAGCAAATAACTTTTTTAATCACTAAAACCTACAAACTATTAATTACAGTTCATGAAAACTTAACATCGCACGTGCTACCATATTTTTAAACTTTAGCGTTTTTACGCATTCTCCCTTGAAATGAAGCTATATTTAGTTTTTAATCAGGAAATTAAACGACTAAATCTTTTAATTCTTTGTTGTTGTTTTTTTAAAAATAATTTACTGTTACGAAATCTTTGTTCTAGGTGTAACACTTTAATACTATTTAAATTAGGTTTTTGTTAGATTTAACAACTCGGGCCAATTAGGAAAGTAATTTCGAATAATGACTAAGTACGGATTTTATTTTATTACATTATTTTTTCACGATTCGTTCGTCGGAATCAGCAACAGCAACATTTTTGTCCTATTAATAGTAAACACATTTTTCGTATAGTAGATACCGAGGTTGGGATTTGTTTACTCTACAGGAGACAAATATTCGGCTTAATGTCCTCTCCAGTGGTCCTTAAAGTGAACATATCGCCCTGGCTAAACTGCGGAAAGTGCCGAAATTAGAACCATGAGATTTAATTCGAGATTTATAGACCGTTCGTTTATGAAACATGTGTTTTCACCGACAAAAATTTACTTCAGCACAATTTTTCTTGTCCAAATCTATTTAAACACACGGGCAATATTTCCCCGGCAATTTCTTTTGATCTATGCTGAAAAAAATCAACGACTCGTGTTTTACATTCATGCGAATCGTCCTTGATGAACACAGTGATTAAATTATTTAATTATCAGATAATTCATACAAATTAACTTATTTTATTAATTAATAACAAAAGCATTAAAAACATTCTCTTAAAATATGATCAGACTTTGACAGTAATTTCATGTTAATTAATGCCTTTCCTAAAAGTCCTTCTGATCATATAAAATCAATGATATTTGAAAAAAAAACTTTCTTTTTAACAATGATTGTTAATAATTGTTGTACTTAGATATTAACTAAATTTACGTTTTCAACGTATTTATTTAAAAAATAAATAAAATAATAAAAATGACATATTCCTCAGGACGAAGACCCTTTTAGTTACGTTGATCTATTGAAAAGTGAAATCAAACAGAAATTCTTATTTTTTTTAGTCTTGTAAGTTTTCTAAGACATATCAACCTACTTATTTATTTAAGTAGTCAGAAGGAGCGAGATGGGACTTCGAAGCTGTGGCTTTACAAAAAAATGATCACCCTTATTCTAATTCTTTGATTTACAGGACTTCTAAATATACTTTGTTAGATAAAAAAATATAAATTTCGACAATAATATTCCTCAAAGTCCTTCTAACAAAAAATTATTTTGTTTTTAACAAGTTACTTTTTAGCAATTTGTTGTATTTTTTGAGCATTAATTGTGTTTAAGAAATTATTTGTAGTTTCAAAGTATTTAAAACGTAATAGTGCTAAAATAGGATTTGGCCATTTTAGTTGGGTTAACCCATGGAAACAAGTTCGTGAAGCCAGAAGGAGCGAGGTCGGGTGTTGTGAATTCACGAAAAAATTTCACCCTATCAATAATTCTGTGACTTAGACCACCTCTAATATATTGTATTAGACCAAAAAAGTTTAGCTATTTTACATTAATATCCTCTCTATAAGTCCTTCTTGCTATAAAATTTGTATTATTTGAACAAAAACCCTTACTTCTTATCAAGAATTGTTGTATTTTGAGTACTAACCTACAATATTTTGGGGGTAATAAAACTATCGAAGGCCGTTTTAGTTGGGTTGATACTTTGTAAATGAAACACAAATTTTTATTTTTTCAGTCTTTTAAGTTTGAAAAAACAAAAAGGATGAAAATGTAGTCAGAAGGAGCGAGGTCGGGGCTTAATTTCGAAGTAGTTCTTGGTTTCACGAAAAATGATCGCCCCAATTCTAATTCTGTGACAGAGATCACTTCTAAATTTACTTTATTAGACCTGAAAAAGTCCATTTAATATACGCTAGTTATATGTTAAACTGTTAATATAGGTTTAGTGGGAAGGAGTAAATCGTAGATACATTTATTGCGATCTAGTTGTATTATTATCAAAGATATCGATTTGTTTTTCTTAAAAGCCTTAGTTTTATTTATAAACATTGGCCTATTATTTGTATTTTGTACAAACTATGTTAATAGAGTGAAGGTGTTTCAGTGAAGCCGCAACCTGTTTACTCGGCGTAAATAAAAGTCCTACGTCAAAATGTCTTCTGGTAAGAAAGGGGTTTTCATTTACTATCCATTTAGATTTTCGTTTACTACGTTTTTTCAGTACTAAGTGAAAAAGCTAACCTAACTTATGAATGACAGAGCCCTTGAGAAAATGCCAGATGGTTGGCATCAGACCAACAGACTTGAGGAAAAAAATTCAAATTATATAGCATAGCTGTAATCTGATTTTTTTAACCAACCAAGCCTCTTCTCTCCTAGTATTTGAGAGTCTTGGTGTATTTTTAAATCCGAACCTGCTTCTCATTAATAGTTATGACAACTTTCCTAAACTCTCGCACATGCACGTAATTCGATTTGTTTTAATTTTTCAACGTATTCTTAGCAAGTGGCGTTTGTTTTTCTTTTGGTCAACTCGTTCAAAATGAAAATTCAAAACAATTCAACAAAAGAGTTTGAACGTCGGCTTGGCTGTGAAGAGCTACAAGTCGCAAAACCATTAAACGTTTTTAAAACTTTGTGACATGATGACAGTTAAGCCGAAACCGGTCTTAAATAAACATATAACCAGTTTAACGATCGCCCATCGGCTTCATTACTTAATCAAGAATTCTACAAAATCAAATTGAAAAACGTCCAAAAAGAAAGGTGATCGGCTCCAACTAAGACCTACGTCACACAGCTGTTCATATTCGGAAGATTTGTACGCCTCACAAATATATCTTTATATAAATTAGTTTTTATGATTTGAAATATTAAATATTAAGAGAAAAAGCTATAAACATAAAAAGAAGTCTTTATGTAAGGTATTGGCTGAGATAAAAAAGTCAGTGTCACGAGCGGGATTCGAACCCACGACCTTCGGCTAAATCCGCCGCTGCTCTACCACTTGAGCTAACGTGACTTCGATCTACTCCGCTCGTGACACTGACTTTTTTATCTCAACCAATACCTTACATAAAGATTAATTAATTGAAAGTTGTTATTTGGTCAATCGGACCACGAAATCTATTGGATTTAATAAGTTAAATGAAGTATATCTTCACTAAAGCTCTCCGTGGCCATTTTATTTGTCGCCGAGAATATAATCCTGATTACACGACATTTGAAAAATGGCAAAAAGGAGGGAAAATTCGAAAGGTTGGGTTGAGATGGGAAGTTGGTACCCGAGTAGATCGAAACGACGATAGCTCAAGTGGTAGAGCAGCGGCGTATTTAGCCGAAGGTCGTGGGTTCGAATCCCGCTCGTGACGCTGACTTTTTAATCTTAACCAATACCTTACATAAAGATTAATTAATTGAAAGATTTTTTGGTCAATCGGACTACGAAATCTAATGGATTTAATACAAAGAATTGTTCACTTTTTCGTACGGAACACTTTATATTATTAAAGATCACAAAAATCTTAAATGGGCAAGCTTTTCGTTTATTTAATATTATGATCAATAAAGAAAAAAGTTAGTATCAGAAGACAACACATTAAAACATTGCTTTATTCTTTCACAGTTTGTCAACACCAATGACTGGTCCGTCTATTCTCGTTTTATTCTGGCAGACATTTTGCAATATTCCATGGTTGAGTACGTTTATCCTTTGTTGTATTTTTTGGCGATATTTGTATGCAATTGGTCAGTTTGATTTTATAACGTTTTGTATAGTTTTTAGAGGGCTAAAAGAGTTGAAATTACATTTACTGTTTCTTAATATGTCAATATATCCATATTTCCGCAATAGTGTTTATTTAATTGTTATTATGTAGGAATAAGCACAACGACCTAAATTTCTGTTAAACAGGCTTTCTTAAAATAAAACTTCATATAATACTTCAGATTGCAAGAGAATATACAAGACATTAGTCTAGCTACCATTTGAATTTTACGTTTAAAGAATTTGTTGATAAAAATGATTATTAATGCATACTTGATGCTTAGATTGTCCATTATTTTGTAAAAAGGGTCTCTGCTACAAGGTCCATTGCTAATGAACACTTAACATGATGACGTTATTGATTAGAAAGCCTGTTTTTATTTGTGTCTCTCTGGCGTCATATTGCTTCATGAATACTTAGCATGCTGCCGAGGTCTTGCAGTTGACCCGCTTGCTAAGAGCAATTAACAGGGCATCGATCCTGTCAATATGATCCCGGGCCGCCCTGAAGACTCGCAGGGCTAAAAAGAGGACGAATGGGCGGTCGATCGAGTCAAAATGACAAGGGTTGGACAAGTCGAAACCCTTTTCTGTCTGATTCGCTGTTTGACAGGTGGACGATTTCTGTTAAATGCGAGTTTGACTTCGGGCCAAGACTCTCAAAATAAACAGCATTTTTTGTTTTGTTTTTCTTACAATTGTGGAAATATACTAATCCTAAAAGTATTGAATCGAATAGCTGAACCCTCGACTATTAGTAAATATATTCCAGGTACGTTGATACAATTAGCGCGGGCGAGCAAACTTTTTTGATCATACAGGTCATCGTACATTATCAGTAGAATGATTTCATTTGAAGAATAGAAAACTTCCCGGTTCAATATTTTTCAGTGTCGTCAACAGTTCCTTAGAGAATGTAAGCTCCGATACAAAAATGTACTAAATACACAGGATTTTATAAATATCCTAAACGGAAGAGATTTGTGAGCAGTTACAAACAAACATGGCAGTATATACAGTTTAGCCAGTGAGTTCAATTATTAGAGAACAGGGTTTCTCCTTCTTCCAAATGTTTACTCTATCAATGTTTCACTTTTGTAAACTGTTCATATTGCTTTTTGATTGAGAGGGTTATTCACAAAACAGTACTGTTAATTTAGTTTTCCGGTATAGTTCATGCCTTTCCCTATCGTTATTTCCTTATTTTTTTATAGGATGTTTATTAACAAAATAGTTTATAGGTTTCAAAGAAAATCATAAAACAAATATTTACTGCCTATCTGTCGCTTTTTCTAGCAATAAGTTGAAATATCCATTTATCGTGGTCTGCCTATCTTGTTGCCTATATCTGACGTCGCTCTTTCAGACTGCACAAGACTATCGCTGGACATGATAAAAACCCGAAACACGTCTGACTGACTAAATTGGCGTGGAAACGCAGAATAAAAATACTAGAACCGACACTGGGTACTTGACCGTCTACCCTCGCGGGGTTTGTTGTTAGTCAAGAATAATAACAAAACCCGCTAGCGTAGGCGGACCCAGTAAGTGACCCAGTGCCGGTTTAGAATATGTGTATGTGGTTTAGCATGCCTTTCTTGGTGTCTACACATGACCTCGCTCCTCAGACAGGCCAACCACTGAACATGGAGAAATGCCAAAATCTGACAGATCGAATCGGAGAGAATATTCAGGACTACTACAAATAGTTTAAAAACACCTATAAAACACCCTTGACTTAATCCACCATTTCCCAATAAAGATAATGTTTTATAAAAGAGACTTGACTTGATAAAAATTATACAGACCTAAGACTGAAGACAGCAAAATGCCGATAGGCGTCTGAAAAACTAACCAGCGGATAGTGGAAAACCGCGATGACCGATCAAATTATTACAAGTCATTTATTACCAAAATTTATGCGTTTTAAGGAAAACTGTCAGAGAAGAAGAATCACATCAGAAAACAAATAAAAACATTTTACTATCGTTTTAGTAATACATTGACAGGTTCGAACAAACAGTATTGTTACAAAACTTGAAGTTTGGTCAGTTCTGATCTCTAGATCTCTATATCTTGGTGCATATACCTGGCTGCACTCCGTGCGATTTCTGACAGCCGAAACTCCGCAGATTAAGTGTTAAATTATATGTTCCTCTTTTAAATAAAAATTAACATGATTATAGCAAAAATGTCAACAAGTCACCTTAAAAGTAGTGTGTCTCATTTGAAATCATAAAACCATCAAAACATACAGAAGAGTAAAGAACAATTTATCCGAATTTTTGTTTCAATTATCCATGCTTTGTAAAAATTATTAAAACGATATAACAATGATTCTTACTTTTTAAAGCTTTTTCTTTTATTATTTATTGTTTTTAATTGAGTGAATTATTCACAAAACGCTAGTAATGTTAATTTTATTTCCAGTATAGTTAATTAATGCATTTTTCCTGTAACTATTGATTTTTTGTACGTTATTTATTATCAAAATGATTAATTCATTTTAAGGAAAACGGCTAGAAAAGCACTATATCAAAATCTGGGAAAACACTTTCATCTGTCTTTCCGTTTTTAACTATTTTTAGTAATAAGCTTACAGTTTAAGTGAAAAATGGAATATTCTACTAAACTGTCGCTAGTTGGTCTACCTATCTTCGCGCGCATACCTGACCTCGCTCCTTCAGACTAAGAAAGACCAATTGCCGAAGTTGCCGAAATGTAGAAACGTGTCTGACTAAAACAGCGAGGATATGTAGACCAGAAATTAAGTAGCATTTTAGTCAGTTTGCGAGTTAGTTTTCTGCTTGCTTTTAGAAATGAACATGATTATGGTGAAATGTCAAAACATAGTCTAAACATTACATAACAAAACTAGATAAATAGGGAAAAGAATAGTCAAAAAATGTATTCCATGTTTGTTATCACACTCTCTCTTTGCCACACTTATTAAAAAGATATTCAAGTCAAGATTCTTATTTTTAAAGGCTTTTCGTTTATTTATACACTTCTCTCTTTCTCTCTCTTTGTTATAACTATTCTGCTTTTGATGAGCGAATATTTCACAACACGCCAGTAAGGTTCATATCTTTTTCCTATCATTACTGGTGTTTATGTATTTATTATCAAAATATTGGTAAGGATCAAATTACAAGTTATTTATTATCCAAGTACATTATGCGTTTTAGGGGAATCTCCAAGAGAAACAGAATTATGTCAGAAAATAAAGAAAAACTGTCTTTCTGTGCCATTGTCTTTCTGTACCAATAGTAATAAATTTAAAAAGAAAAGTGTTTTTGCTAAACATTTGATCGTATCAAATCATCCTAGTCTGCCTATCTTGGTGCCCAATACTGGACCTCGCTCCTTCAGACAACAGAGACTAAACATGGTGAATCTGTAAAACTCGTCTGTCAGACCAACCCAGTGAGAATAAGCAGACCAAGGCGACAGGTAAGAATCAAATTACAAGTTATTTATTATCAAAATAATTTATGCGTTTTAAATAAAACTACTAAGGATCCAATACATATATCAACATCAAAGAAAGTCGTTTTCCTCTCTCTTTTTGGCTGTCGCTTTTTATAGTTATTAGATGTCTATTTACAAAGAAAAATGTTTTTACTAAACGTTTCTTTGCAAAAGATCATCCTGGTCTCCGTCTTGGATCCGGACCTCGCTCCTTTAGACTAACTATTGAACATGTTGAAAAGCTGAAACGCGTCTGACAAACCCAGCGAAGATGGGCAGACCAGACGATCGGTAAGAGAAACTTTCAGAGAAACAAAGAAAATCTTTCTATCTTTCTATCTTTTTTTTATCAATTAGATTACTATTTCCAATAACAATATTTTTCTAAAATTTTGTTTGATAATTTCTGATCATCCTGGTATGCAATTCCGTGCTCATACCTGACCTATGTCCTTCAAACTACACAGGTCAACTACCAAACATGGTACAAAGCAAAAACGCATCCAACAGACCTACCAGTACAAAAAATGTAAAAAATATCATTACATCTATAAAAAAGATAACATTTCTTTTTTACGTTTTTACTATGGTATTTATTTTGTTCCATACTGGACGAATATTGTTAAAATAATAACTGATAATTGTTTAATAAGAAAAAACAGAAAGCAGACTTTAATTAAATTTTCTTATTTCATTCTTTTCCATTTCTGGATAGTTTCGTTGTAATAATTTTTAAGATTTAGTTTTTAGTTGAAGAGAGACAGACAAAAAATGGGTCCACCACAGAGGTTAGGGCGCCTGACTCGTAAATGCCATGTTCTGGGTTCGAATCCTTTAAATTTTTTTTTTAAGATTAATTTGAAAAATGTATTGTAAAGTGATCCCTTGTCCTCGACAACCAACGGATAGTTGGATATTAAGCCATCGGTATGACAGGAATTATTGGGATGTCCGAAAAATAATGCAAGTTTTCATGTTTTTGTTATATTAAACTGTTTAGTTTAATGGATTATTCTTTTGTACGAATGTCAACACTTTCAAACAAAACTGTTTGTTTACCTTAGAAACATTTCGTTACTTTGGAAGAATTCAGTCTTTACTAATACGTCAACGCGTGATTTTGGCATAATTTCGTTTTACGAGTTTAAACTCGGTCGGAACGATACCCAAACAGCCAGAAACATTCATTAATTCTGGCCATCTGGGGCGATGGCAGCGTGAGTGAGAGCACCGTTCAGAGAGTTTTAAAAAATTTCGAGAGGGGACTTCAGCCCTGAAGACAAAGAAAATCGTGGAAGGATTTCTTCCCTGAAGGATGATGGTGTTCGGCGAGCTTTGGTCAAAGAAAATCCCAGAACAACTGCTCGAGAACATGCAGAGAAGAAACTTTCAGTTAGCAAATCGATCGTCGCTGACCACCTTAAGGCAATTGGAAAAAACCTCGAAAGTTGAGCTCCTCATCCATTAAACGACCGAAAAATATCGTTATGAAGTTTGTGAAACACTTCTTTGCCGAAACAAAAAGAGAACCTTTTCTGTATAGAAGTTTTACATGTGATGAAATGTGAATATTTTACGATAACAATAGAAGTTCTGGCCAGGGCTCGTCAAAGGAGAAGCAGCATAACATTTTTCAAAACCTACAACTCATCAAAAAAGGAGATGGTGACTCTTTGGGGGGCTTCATTTGGGCTGATTTACTGCAGCTTCTTGAATCCTGGTGAAACAATCAATGCTGAAATGTATTGCTCTCAAACTGAAGCAATGCACCAGGAATTGACATTATTGAAGCCATCTTTGGTCAATCTGAAAAGGCCGATTCAGTTACACGACAACGCTCGGCCTACTGACTACCATATTTTTCAGACATCTGAACAACGTTTTACAAGATAAAAACATATACTAATCAAAAGTCGTTAGAAAATAGATTTTATAGAATTTTTTAATAATAAAGACGCAAAATTCTATTCAGATGGTACAGAGTTTACAATTGAAATACATTTAATTTTTACATTTTCACTACCTTTGAACTTTATGTTTCGGGATTTTTGGCCACAATAATTGCTATTTTTATATGAAACAAACATTTACATTATAACTTATCCAAACTTTGCACCGACCATACATCGTTGTTATAATGCACTTTTTGTTTCAAATCTAATATTTTTATTAGTAAAGAGCTATATACTGTCTGTACAACTGCAGCACTGTAAATGTTTTTTAAACGTTTAATTTATTAACGTTGTTTCACAATGTGATTAAACTAGATGTGACAATTTGAGAAAAGCTTGCAAAGATAAATAAAAATCACTTTTAACACTTATAGGGTTTCTTTAAAAATTGTTTTGTTTTGTTTATACTGATTAGAAATGGTTTATTGCCACCATGGAATTTCAGGATGGCCGCTATTTAAAATTGTACCCAATTTAGAGATGTAAGAGTTTTTTTTCAGGAGATCAAATGAATCTTGTAAATCATTGCAAAGAGCAATAGAAATTGTTTGAAATCTAGTAAAGGAGTGAAATGAAGCGGTACTTGAAGCTGATTCGTTTAACTGGTCGAACAGCGTAAACAAACAAAAACGGCACAGCATAAAAGTAGCTGTGACGACGACCTCTCAAGAAAATCGGTTTACGTAAATTGCACTTCCTACCTTAATGGCGTTGAGGTTTTGGCACAAATTAAAGGAGAATCAGAGTTGGTCTTCGCCGTATTTCTTATGGTCGAAGTCCATAACAAATGAGGCGTTGAGGAGCGTTGGGTATTATTAGATGGCCGACAGGTAAAAACCACGTGCAGAGCTGTAGACGGACGGTCGTGATTTTCTCTCTCCGCGGACTTGTATCGGAATTAGGAGGAGGATTTGTAAATAGAATTATAGCGATGTTGTTAACCTCGATCCGAGGTCCGGCCTGGGAAACGCGAGGGCCGCGGTTCCGTTCAAGTGAGGATGAACACGGCGGAAGCTGCCGGAGTTTTTCCAATTTCCCATTTTCCCATCGGGCCGTGAGTCGAAAGTTGGACTGTTAAAAAGAGAAAGAGATAAGAATTAAGTAGGAAACACGCCGGCGCACACCAACGTTTTTCGTTCGTACATTGTTTATATATAGCGAGCGCTCTGCGAAATATTTTCGGGACTGACGTACACGGAGGCACGCTAAGATGCGACTCGTCCCACGTTTCTTGCGTGCGGTCAAGTCCGTTTCAATCGGGATCCCATGCCAATTTCCATATACGTCCCACGTGCTTGACTCGTTAAGTACCTTCGAACGCAAATACATTTCATTCACAGTACCTCAAATCAGAAAAACACCAACAAAACACAAGCCACTTTATCAATAGTTGATAAACAAATATATCACAAAATAGATGGTTGAAAGAAGCAACTCGATTCTATTGACAAATTATTGAGCTTTGCCCCGTTTTATAATCTTTCCAACCGCAAATTCTTAAAGATTATCCGATCTAAGGATGCGAACCTTCAAATATTTATTTAGACGGACAAAAATAAAATCGCGCGTTAATATTTACTCTTTGAGATCTCTGAGCGACTTAAACAGTCTTCACATCAATAATGTACACACGGAAGAAATGTATTTTTTTTTAATCTTTTATTTATTTCGAATACAAAGTGAAACATATAACATGTGAAAAATATAAACGTTTAGGGTGATGCATATTTCGAGGCACCATAGGAAAATAGTTTTCTTAATTTTCGAAACAAAATTTTTTTGCATTAGTTTTCAGCCATAACCATGACAAAAATCATGAACATGAACTAAAATTAAATTAAACTATACTTCTTTTTGTCTTTTAAACATTGATAGACCTTCATATAACTATTTATATTTCTTCAGGCTAAAATTGTTACGTAATTAAAATAAAGACACCTTCTAATGGGGAGGGTGAGACCACGTAGGTGACCGTTGTTTGGAGAACTTATCATGGTAGAGAATATGATAAGAGACTGCAAAGAACTAAGCCAGCAAAGAAAGATATACAACATCCGAATGACTATATGTGGCCTTGAGACATGGCAGAAGGCACAGATTGCTGTTCCAATATCTCAGGATCATAAATATTTTAAATTGTATATAGGATTTTTTTACGAGGGTTTACAACAGCAGAGGTTAATCAACCCTCGGGGTGCCGATGTTTTTGAAAAAAAGGCCCATTGTAAGTATGTCGGGTTCGAATGCAGGGCTGCTGGATTCGAACTCGGGACCTTACCTTACAGTGATGAGCTAGGTGTATAAGATCACAAAGATCATCACGAAGACACAAAGTCTTCATATATGTGATGTAGGCTCGAACTTTGGAACGAATAATGTATTTATTTGCGTGAATGGAGGGGTTTATCCCTCAAATACCCCGAGTCCTCTGGGGTAGTATGATTGATTTGTGCTGTGCATATGTAATTTATTAGCGAGAGTGGAAGGGTTTATTCCCAATTCCCCTGAAGAATGTCGAGTACACTGAGGTAATGTGAACGCTAACCAGACTATCATGTTTTTATGAGGCCTCTTAGGCAATGAGTCACGGTTACGATTTACTGTAAATGGTATTTATTAATTAAATTATTTATTTATTAAACTCTAAAAACTTAATATTGTATAAAGTAAAAACATAAAAACGAAAAATGACCGAAGTACCTGAGCGTGCCGATTTTATTTCTATTTATGTTTTTAATTACGTATCCGTCCCTGAGGAAGGCTTAATAAAAAGCCGAAATCTTGGCAAAAGAGATACGACTAACTCATTTTGAACCACATACCTTATCCCAACCATCAATTCCTAAAAAACCGTTTTTGTCTACCATGTCACGGGATGTTGCTCGCTCCCCCAGTTAGGAGTGTGATGCATTCGGCAAATGCTCCTTTTTTATGAATTTTTTGTAGAATGGTTCCAGGCCTTCTGATGTTGCTGAGGAACCCGTACGGGTTCTCGGATGACCTGTACTTTTCAAGTTCATAAGGCCTCAAGCGATGGAGCTGTATGTATATTTTTGTATGGTAAAGTCAGCTTGTACCTATTATTTGATGCTCTCTTAAGTAGAAGAATATGATATTCTTATGATAAGTGTGGGTGGCAATAAGGATTGCTGAATCTTTGGCATATGTCAGTTCTAATGTGTTGGGTAAAGTTGTGTAGCAAGTAAGTTTCCCAGAGGATCATAAAACGGGATGAATTGAAGAGAAAAAGTGCGTTGCATAACCTGGAAATATTGTATGGTGAGCTAGAATTTGAGAATAAATTATGTAAAAGGAAGTATGCTCATTGCTTTACCCTGCAAAGCCTTACAAAGCAAAGCACCCGATCAAAGTGTGGGATATACCCAGGAAATCTCCAAAACAGTACTATTTAAAGCTTATGGATGGTGGCTTATGTAAATATACGTTGTTCCATTCTTACATATGAAAATTCGATTAATATATCGATTGTAAAAAACCTATAGAGTGATATTTTTAAAAATTTATTGGTTAACAATATGTATTTTTTTCCAAGTTGAGGATTTACAGTTATGAAACGAGCTTGATGTTGATGGGAATTTCCGAACGAAGGACGACTTTGGAATCCCTTTTGTCCGTACTTTGTTGGCTTTTTAAACTTAGACGCTAAGTCTTCAACTTTAACGCCTTGTTGCGTCAAGGGACTTTCTGTTCCGGACAAAGGACTTTCTTTTGTCTCGTGCAATCAAAAGAATGGCTAAATTTTTTGCGACAATCCTTTGCATTTGAGGCATTTCGTTTAAAGCGAGTAAAATCTAGTGTTTACTGGTAAGTCTGCCATCACAACATATTTGTATTTTTGCTAATTTGATAATTTCGCTATAAATCGTTAAATCATACATATTTTTTAGCAAGTACATGATCAAATCGAGTAGATATTGTTAATATTTTATTACAGGTCTATTCTCGATGGGAATGGTTCACCCTATTGGTTTTTCTATTTACATTACAAATGGGGCGAGTCTAATTGAATGTGATCGAATAGCTCAACTCATTTACTTCAGATTTTTTCTGATGATAGCGAAACTTAAACTAAATAATTCTTTAATTATAAGATTTTAGTGTGTACGGTTTGAGTGAACTTAAAATGTTAAAGTAAAACTTTATCCTACCGTGGTTTGACGGGCAAAGTCAGATTATGAAAAGTAGGCAGAAGTAAACGTAAATAATAATAACTCCGTTAGCCCACTATCTATAACACAACTTTGATTTTGCAGAGTTCACTCGCGGATTGCTTATTGTGCGGTAGTAGCGAATAGCTGCGGCAGCAGACTTTTAGCATTTCACTAACTGTTCGAAAGCACCGAGACGCCAGCGGAAGTATTTTTGTTTTAATATTTTTTATTTTTTTTAGAAAAGAATTTTTTGCAAGCATAGATCTGAAAAGGCAAAATATTTCACTTTAATGTAGTTTTCTTTGATTTTTTTTAACAGATACAGTACTTGAATATAAATATAAAATAAATAGAAATCGAAGACAATCCTATATGTTAAAAGATTTTTTGTAAATTATGAGTATTCATTTGAAAATATGATTTTTATGAATAATGTAAGGTTTTATCGAATGTAATATTGTTTTAATAATTTTTTTCACAACAGCAGAGGCCATATCAACCCCGGGATGCCGGTGATTTTGAAAAACAAGACCATTGGTAAATATATTGGGTTCGAATGTAGTGCGGCTGTATTCGAACCCTGGATCTTTACCTTACAGTGATGAACGCCGTGTCAATGCCGTTGCGGCCCCTCTTGTTTTAATTAATTGTTTCGATATTTCCATTCTAAGAAAATTTTTGTCTGTTAGTAGAGAATAAAATGGTACCAAAAGCATTTTTGGTGTTAAGAGGATTTTTCAAAGAATAAGGACAATTTAAAGGCCTGAAAAAGGTTAAAATTTAAATTCCCACGAGTACCTGGCTAGATTATTCTATAAATTACGTAAATTTATTGAAATGTCATTCATAAAACTGAAAAACAGAGCAGTTCGTGTTTGGCATGCTAGTAAATAAAGTATGCGAAAATACAAAAAGGAAGTCAATAAATAGAAATTAAGACAAGCCAGTATGTTCGAAGATTTTTTTTTGGTCAGACCTGAGTTTAAATGTTATTATGTACCTGGCTTTAATGAATAATGTAATGTTTTAAAATATAAAATTGATTTAATGTTTCTTTTATTTGGGGCGATTGTTAGTAGAGTTTATCTACTAATTGACCTTGAAGCATTAATTTTTATTGATCAAGCTGTAAGTTGTAAATTGTTGTTGTTTAATGGCTTACAAATTATAATCATTTGAGACCAATTAGAAGTACTTTTGGTTTTAAGTCGATTTTGTCAAAACATAAAGAAAATTTAAAGGTTTGAAAAGGTTAACAATTTCAATAAACAACAATTTTCTGATTAGATATTTGAGTTAGTTAAATAAAGTTTCATTATTTATTTAGAAATCGTGAGATGCGGTCTGGTGTGATGTAGGTTTCAGAAAAACATTTTCTTTATCATGCCAACGTTTCGCTCTTTATTGAGATCATCTTCAGGGCTCAAAGTGTTTGTCTTCTGTGAAATTGTGCCATTCTTGCGTGTCGTGTCGAGAGTGCCCCCGTGTGAGTTTAATTTATAAGGTCGTTAGGGGTGGCGTGCGTGTGTAGGCGTTATCTTTGTTGGCGGGAGCTTTCGCTGGATTAAGTCTTGAGTTTTTTAATATGGTTTTGGGCGGGATACACAAATTTCTTTTGTGCCCAGCCGAAGGTCGTGGGTTCGAATCCCGCTTGAGTTTTAAAATATGTTCATTTTTCGACTTTTTTTTTTTTTTTGCACGTTGTGTAGTATTTCATGCTTGTCTGCATTTCTGACAATTCTTGATGGTTTAACATCTGAGGTATTTCCCTACAGTATAGTTTGATTGTCCCTCATTCTGTCTAAAAAATCGTATTCGTTTTTCGTTCTGTATTTTTATTTTTCGTCCGGACTTTTTCGCATATTATGTCGTATTTGCCTTCATTCGTTATTTTATTGATTCCTTATATTGCAGATGTTATTGCATACAATTG